GCCAGTCTCTGCTTTAACCGAGGAGTTCAAGTGTGCCAAGGTCAGACTGGAAATGACCTTAGTAGAGTCACGCGACAAATGTGTAAGGGAGGCAGCCCCTGTGTTAAAAACTGGTAGAAAGTGGTCAGCAAAGAAATCTGTAGTAGAGGCAAAGGCTGCCCTTCAAATTAGGGATATCGTGGGACAGGTACAGCATGGAAGAGGGGGTTTTGGGCTCAGTTTAGCTCCTCCTAAATGGCACAAGGCAGGCCCAGCTCAAAGGAGGAAGCTGGTAGTCAACGAGGTGCGACAGCAGGAGGAGAGGATGAGGTGTATAAAGGCCATTTCACAGGCCAAGCAGGGAGAGTGGATGAGATGGGAGAGTGTGGAACAACGTAAGATGGGCTGGCAAGACCTTTGGTCATTGGAAGAGAGTAGGATCAGTTTCCTTATTAGGTCAACATATGATGTTCTCCCATCACCGCAGAACCTAAACCTCTGGGTAGGAGAGGATCCCTCTTGTCCTTTGTGTTCATCACCTGCCACATTAAGGCACATTTTGACAGGATGTAAGGTGGCTCTTAGCCAAGGTCGGTTTACTTGGCGCCATGACCAAGTACTGCGATGTTTGGCTTTAGCATTAGAAGGCAAGCGTAACATGACCAATAAGTTGCCACCTGTTCTAGCAAAACATTACACGCAGAAGACAATATTCCTCCGCCCAGGCGAGCAACCACCAAGAAAAGGTGTTAACACCAATTCTCGCCCAGGACAACTGGAAGCTGCTAGGGATTGGAAGATGCTGGCTGATCTTGACCAACGGCTTATTTTTCCACCTGAGATTGCCACCACTAACCTACGACCAGATATTGTTTTGTGGTCTGGATCAGCACGCATTGTTCAACTGATAGAGTTAACAGTGCCATGGGAGGAAGCGGTAGATGAGGCATATGAGAGGAAGAAACTGCGGTATGCTCATCTGGCCACTGAAGCAGAACAGCGAGGATGGAGAGTCCAGGTTTATCCAGTGGAAGTGGGTTGTCGAGGTTTTGTGGCACACTCTACAACCCGGTTCCTCAGAGACGTCGGATTCAGTGGCCAAGAGTTGCGTCGCACAGTAAAGAACTTATCTGAAGCAGCAGAAAGGAGCAGCAACTGGCTGTGGTTGAGACGGAAAGATTCTAGCTGGCTGTGTACAGGCCGCCACGCTACGGTTTCGTAGAGTTCTTGAAAACTTGAAGAGTCTGTTGGTTTGTTTGTATACATTCCTGTGGATATTGCGTGAATGACGGGTGGTTGGGTAGATATTGTGTTTTGCGGTAGGTGGTATGCCATACGGAACCGTTGTCCACTGAAACTGCATATTAACGCACCAGTGGGGCTCGACAGCCTTAGTCAACGGGTTGGCGCGTATGGTTGGGTCGCGGAGAGATTGTGATATTGTGGTTAGATCTCAGCAGCAGGAGGGATGTAGAGGTCAGTAAGCTGAGTTGAGTGGGGGACGGAGGGGGGTGACTCTGGGACGCCAGAGTCACTGTCGAGCCCTCTTGAGGTGTCGTGGGCTAGTCGACGAAACACTGAGGACGGAAGGTGCCCACTTGAAGACCCTAGAGATGTCCCCTACTCGGTTCAATCCAGACGGTTGTCGTGCTGGTCCTGTAGTTGCAGCCGTCGCGTGCGCTAACGCGCCAAGTACACTGCTGCCGTTAACGCCGGACAGAAGGGGAGTCACACTACCTTATGGAAAGAAGCGTAAATGGATGGAGAAGCATAGTTTACTGTAAAGCTACGTCTTAGTTTTGCTTATCTTGGCGAAAGCCGAGTACAAATCAGCATGAAGTTTTAACATCTACTCTCGTGTAATGGAAATCGGCGTTAACGTGCTGCGTTAACGTGAGACTCTTATCGGGCGATAAAAAAAAATATCGCCGTTAATCAAAGTTGGGTTGGGATCATAAATAGCTTTTTCGAATATCGTTATATTTTCGCGCAATTCTAATGTGTAGTATGACGCCGCGCCTACTGTCACAGATCGCGCAGTAGGGTATTTTCCTGTCAGGGACACAAGGGGTGCTTCTCATTTCTTATTTGTGCATCCTCGTTTCCTTTCCTCGCTTCCTTTCCTCGTCTCAGCTCCACCCCCTGTAGGACGCGAGGGAAGGCTGCAAGGGAAAAAAACGAGGACGGAGGAATTGAATGAAAGCTTTTTTAATACATTGGAATACTTGATCACTCGAGCGTCACTTCACTGCGTCATCGGCAGTGCTCAAAGGATCTGCCCTTATGTTGTTAAAGTTAGTTTATTTAAGACATTCATAATAAATAATAATAAAGCAAGATACCTTGTTGAAATATGTGAGTTGTGTGGTTTATGTAAACTACAAAAGTAAAGTATAAATTCAAATGATTGTGACAGATGTGAAGGGGGAGGAGAATTGATACGTGCGTCATGTTTAGTCGATAAAACTCTTCCGCAAAGGGTACACCTGTGTATCCTCGCTCATAGCTCCCCTGGAAGCCTCCTCACTCCTCGATCCTCGCCTCCTCGCGGTGCAATTAGAGAATTGAGATGTCCTTCAAGATGGCTGAGCTCGATTGGTTTCCGGGTCATAGGATGGAGGACGGAGGAGCGAGGAGACGAGGAGGGATATTGAGAAGCACCCTCGGAGTCGAAACAGGAAGATTTAAGAGCATCAAGAGCGTTGGATGAAGTGGATCTACAGTCTAGTCTAGTGAATGCAAATCTGCAAATGCATCATATTTTTGCCAGCGATGAAGATCTTTATTAGTTGAACATCTTCGTAAGCTGTCTGTGAATGAATGATTCCACAGGACGATACATTCGATTTCATTTCATTCAGGTAATACATTGTGTGTGTATTGCGCGTGTATTGCGCAGTGGCATAATCACACGAATAGTTTACATTGATTGAAACTAATTTGTTTAAAAATGAGGCTATTGCAGTAACAAGGTAGGTTCACATAAAATTCTTATGACATATGATGACATTATTTTTTGATCTAACGAGCATTGGCGATGCAAAAACGGACTGTCGTGCGTATTGTTTTTTCTTCTTCTTCCAATTAGCCTACTATGTTAAAAAAAGGACGAAAACATGTTACTTGTTCAATTAATAAACAGTTTGTTTGATGACAAATCGCTAAAGATGAAATTGGCCTCCCTCTCTGTCATTGCGTTTTTTTTTTTGTTTTTTGTTTTTTTTTGTTTTTTACGATATTCAACTTTTGCTCCTCGATTGTCGAATGGCATTTTTGGCAGAAATGCACATCCCTACGCGAGGCAAACTATTCTCAAAGACTTACTTTTAGTCATTATTTGGGTAGCACACATATTCTGAATGCCTTCGGGAGAATTCAAATGAGCTATTTTAATCTAGATTAATCTAGATTAATTTCAATATTAATCTAGATTAATCTAGATTAAAAAAATTAATCTATGCCCACCTCTGATATATATATATATATATATATATATATATATATATATATATATATATAAACACACATATATATATATATATATATAAACACACACATATATATACATATACATATACATATACACATACACACACACACACACACACATATATATATATATATATATACAGGGTGCGATTTGCGGGGAGGGGATGCGTGGGATTTCCCCCTTTCTGGTCAAAGTATCCCTGCCTCTGCTTAATTATTTTTATCCCCCCCCCCCCCCCCCCCCCCCCCCCAAAGTGATCAGTGCTACTACACTAGTGGCGAGACGGATCACAAAACTTATCACGGGTCCGTGGTTTGATTAAAGTCAATTTTATTTTAAAATGCGCTCCTTCGGCTGGCTCTGGTATAGCGGCCGCAGCCTCTCTGTAATCACCTCTCTGCAGACTTGCTCAATGGTCCCGCCCATGGCGCTATCTGATTGGTTACTCCTCACGAGTAATAGCCAATCAACACTTGCGAGACTGAGGTTTTTAGCGCGGCGCGGTAGACGCGAATTGACACAGATAATGCATCTGTCTTTTCTATCATTTCACTGTAGCTCAGCATCGCGATGTAACGTTAACGTTGTTACTTTAACAGCAGTACAACTGTTTCTACTGTGATGGTTTAACTTTGCAATCAATCCATGGTTCAGCAGACTGATAGAAGTAGGCTAGCCTAAACTAAGTAAAGCGATGTAATGTGAACTGTCAGTGCGATAGAACAATAAAATCCGAAAAGGACCACCCACTGGAAAGCTGCGGATTTTCCCACAGGAAAGCAGAAAAAGACTGTTTTCCTAGTATGATGCAAAGGCCTACACTATAGCCTATTTATGTTTAAGTTGACACTACGTTGTGACATTTAATTTTGCCATTCATAAATAAGTGTTTTGACATGTCAAGCCGAGTGGCACTATCCATGGTACTGGGAGGGGGATTTAATTATTGCGTGTTTTTTCGTTGTGCGTGATCACAGTTCATATAAGCTATTAGAGTAAAAATATTGCGTTAGGCTATGAGTTAATAAGAAAAAAGATTTTACAATTCCTGCAAATGCAGTGATGAAGTTCATGTTCTCGTGATTTATTTTTATGAATAAAACTTTTTCAAAACATCCCCCCCTCTGTTTTTTTTTTCACAAATCGCACCCTGTATATATATATATACACATACACACACACACACACACACACACACACACACATAAATAAAATCAAAATATAAATGAAAGTCAAAAGCACAATCTTAGTCATACCTGGAAACAAATCCTGTTCAAATAGGTTATATGGGCCATTCTATAGAATTGGTTCAAAGCTAGTGTTGGAAACATTCTTGCATTCTTTCTTGTGTGACACACCTGAATGAAAGGCTCATTATACGGGTCTTTGTCTTCTCAGGTGTAAACCACTGAATTATTCATGATGGGGTTGGGCCATTCACGCCCCTCCGCATATTGCCTTTCCAAACAAAAAAATGTTTTTCACAATTTTAAGCAATCTATTGTTTTATGTGAATGATTAGGCAGGATGATTTTCACATCATTTTGACCCCAGAACTCGAAGCGACAACATCCATTAGTCAAAAGTCTTGTGGACACATATTTAGTATGTGTTTTGTGGTCTTATTTCAGCAACTTTCATTTTAATTTTTTTCAATAAACATGCATAAACATTATTCTCTTAAAAATACAAACATGTACATACATGTTGCTCACATATTATGGTAGCCCCGTTTGTGCTATATAGAGTGAATTTACACCTTTGCCATTAACATGTTTATAAATAACTGAAAAAAGCACAAATGTCAGTGCATGTCAAAACATCCCAAGGGCCCCAAAAACACCTTGGTCCCCAGAGGGTTAAACCCTCAGTCATTATATGTTAATTGTCTTGTTTTAATGTTTCTTGCTGGTGTTATACCTGATGTTTATTAAATATAAGTGTTCATCGTCTTTCAGCATCAAGCCTCTTATCTCGGATTATCTAATCAAGCCAGTGTGTGACAGTCACTGATTTATCATGCAGTTCAAAGTATTTTGGGTAGAATCTCTCTACAGTCTATTCTGATACATCAACATAGTTTCACTGATGATCTAGAATAAACCCTAAACCCAGGATAGAGTGTGTCAGTGAATGTGGTCTGGACTGTGTGTATGAGGCTCGTTGTATCAGAGACGTTGTAGAAAGACAGAGTTCCTGCACTGTGATCCACATACACTCCTATTTTTCTGCTGATGGGCTCTACAGGGAGTTTAGTCTCTATGTTATTGTGCCAGAATGAGAATCTTTTAGGAGTGCAGAACAAACTCCAGGACTGATCATTATCTCCAAACACACACTTAACCCGTCCCTTCCTGCTGATGCTCTTGTATGACACTGATATACACACACTTCTCCCACTCCACTCAATCTCCCAGTAACAGCGTCCACACACACTCTCTCTACACAACACCTGAGGATACACATCAAATCTGTCTGGATGATCAGGATACAACTGATCTCTGCTAGTGAATTTAATCACGCTGTTCCTCTCAGACAGACGGAGGATTTTATGTGCTGTGTTCAGATCCAGATTGAGCTGATGGGAATCTGATGGAGATAAAAACATATCAGAATCAGAATTATGAATTTGATCTTTTAATGTACACTGCAAAAAATATTTTTGAGTGCTTGTTAAACAATTAAAATTAGTTAAAACCACACAATTACTGAACATTTTGTCTTTACCTAATTGTATTGTGTAAAATCCACTTGAATATGTAAAATTAAAGTTTACTTAATCCATTTGAACTATCTGAATAATTAGTGTTGAATTAACTTCTACAGTGGATTTTTAGTTCCCTTTTCGAAAGGGAACTTGCACTGCGTCGATGACACTATGGGGAACGCCCAACACGTGTACCGGTGTCTGAAAAGCTATCCAATCACGGCAATCGATATTGACCGGCGACAGCCTATGACGTTACTACTAGTGCGACCCGGAAGTATAAGAGGGGCGCCTAGAGAACATGTCATCCTCTTTTCGTCCTCAGGGACTGTTTTCCCTTGAGAAAACTCCACTCTCGTCTGGCCCTCTTCTTGAGGGAAAAGAGACAGACATCTGTGCCAGGCGATTCAGGTCCCGCTTGAGCTGAGGCAGAGCAGAGACTAGAATCATGGGGTTTCAGAGCGAGCTCGCCGAGGAGTTTGAGAGAGTTGTTTATCTCTCACCCCCCTCGGAGGCTCACAAGTTTGAGCTGCTGGATGAGGATGTGTTGTCACTAATATCAGCCCAAGAAGGCAGGAGATGGCTGATGAGGGTGAAGAGGATTTACAACCCGAACACTCACAGCCACCCTGCCCCGCGTATGATGAGTTGTGAGTGTTGTGTAACGCGCTAATTATTCAGATAGCAGGCTTTGCTGCCAGAGGAGCGCGTGAGGGAAGAGACTGCTCGTGGCAGACTTTATGAATGGTTTCTTTCCAGCCATACCACTTCAGCTCCCGTGAGCCTTCCATTCCTGCCTACAGGGGCGGACTGGGACTAAAAAGTGGCCCTGGACTTTCTGGCCCACAGCAGCCCACCACATCCCAAATCATAAAAAATATTCTGCACATTAATGGGCCAATGTGTTAACACCACTTATAGCATAAAAACATAACTCAATACAAAAATAAATGCTATTTAAACATTTATTTTAAGTAACACAACATATATTTGTAAAACCAAAGGGAAACAAACAGAAGAACATTAAAAAACACAACATATAAAACTATCAGGACAGCATATCAGCTAGTCAGGGGGAGCTAGGTATAGCCATCAGAGCCTGTTGAACTGCTACTCTTCGTGCCAAATGTATAATCTGTTAATTTGAAGCATTTCACAGCATCTACCTCTAATGCTTTTTTTTAACTGTCGGCTGAAATTGGTCCTCTATGGAAGTAAAATAATGCCAAATGTTTTTGAAACAAAAAGCCTGTTGAATTGTACTACTTGAAAAAAACATGCATTGCATTGACCCTGCTTGTATGTTAATGCATTGTATTTTTAGGGCTTGCATTTTTATAGGCTGAAATGTAGCATGGTTGAATATTTAAGCTGTGAATATTTCAAATCAAAACATTTCAAACACATTTTCATTAGTAACATTTCAATAATCCATATTCACCTTTCATATTTCACTTCCAAAATATTCAAACTGATTAAAAATACAACCTATAATATTCAACAGGCGGTTTTCGGTCCATTTTATTTCGCTTTGCAAATTCGCTTCCACAAATTCAGTGGTTCAAATTCGACAGTAAATTCAACGTTGACATCCAGGAGCTGCAGGAAAAGCAGTAGATTACCGAGCATGATCTCTCCATCTGCTGTTAGTCCACCTCACCAGCAGGGGGTGCAAGCGCGTGTTGTTGACGAAGACCAGAGCAACAGTTAGAGCAAGCCATTCATTCATAAAAACTCATTTACAACAATTGAGCATGCATTAAGTTTTTTGTGACGATTGTCAGTATGCGGAAAAGATGATAAAGGCACAAAAGCTGTTTTTATGTTTCATTCATTGTTACTTTCCCTGTGTAGCCTTACATGTTATCAGCTTTTTCTACAATGAACGGGATTATAATCGGTTTCCCTCAATACCTCATCATACTCAAAGATTCCCCTTCCGTCAGGACAAAGCGCTTAACATAGCTTAATGGACTACAGTGATATAAAAGACCAAACTCGCACCTTATTTGGGAAGTATGTATTGTACATGTACATGTACTGCATTAGATTAAACTAGGAAGTAGCACTTTCATCTTGTTGTTCTAATCTATATTGTTAGTTTAACTGTAAGTCGCTTTGGATAAAAGTGTTTGCTAAAAGACTAAATGTAAAATTGGGTTGACATTCGCACATTTAGGGACCGTCTCTAAAGTAACAAATCCTATAGGCCTAAACGTTTCTAACTTCAATAGCAAACTTCAATCTATTTGAATAAATTGCGCATTATGCCTGACACATACATGAACACTTTACAGTTGGTTTTATGACTGTAAGTCGTTCTCTTCAAATAGTGTAGTTAGAAACAATGTCGTATGTAACTTTAGAGACGGTCCCTAAATGTGCGAATGTCCAATGTCAAGCCAACTTTTAAGCTGGTAAGTCCCACCCCTTCCGCTTACCCCGCTGGACCTCTAGGTTGAAAAATCGTCAATGCAAGTGAATGAGAGAAAATAATTATTTTCTAATCCCGTTCGAATTTTGCAATGAATGTGAACATGTTGTCTGTGAATTTTTTATATAATTTTTCGTGTAAAGAATGCTACAATTTAGCGGGTAGAATTTTCATACGGTTAGACTTTGTGTGAGAGCACTTTGTGGACTACAACTCTTCGCTGCTTTCGACGCGTTTGATATACGTCACCACCACTAGCACACGGATCCCGCTAAACAGCCTGTTTTGTCTGAATGGTGACATTTGGGTACAAACCACAGGCATCTCGATCTAATTCCTTAGATTATCGCACCGTGATTTGTGGAGGGAAAATGTGTTATGCGGTGACGTCACATATGCGACGTGTAGTCTTTCTCGTTATGTTTATTCCACAACTGCTAGCCAAAGAATCATACAATATACTGTCAAACTCGTTACATGAGAAATTATATAAAAAATTCACAGACAACATAAATTATGTTCACATTCATGGCACAGTTCAAACGGGATCAGAAAATAATTATTTTCTCTCATTCACTTGCATTGACGCTTTTTCAACCTAGAGGTCCACTTGGAGTTTTACGGATGGGCGGGACTTACCAGCTCTATATCACTGGGAAACGCTCAGCATTAAACTTTGCGCGTTAAATTCATATTCTGAGTCCATCTGCTAGCCTGTGAGTTTGGTCTTTTATATCACTCTATTAGTCCATCAAGCTACGTTAAGCGTTTTATATGTCCAGCAGGGGAATCCTGACGTATTGAGGGAAACCCTAGCCTACTACTGCATGCAGCACATCGCTGCAATATAAGGTTAAGGCAACTAAACAACCAAGAGAAATATATGTCAAATGTAACACTGGATCTGTACATCCGCATCGGGGGAATAACATTATAATATCGTTCATGGTAGAGAAAGATGCATGTAGGCTACACAGGAAAAGTAATTGTGAACACACTGAATTTCACATAAAACAGACGTCATAATAATCACAAATACACTTAAATTTTTGTAAATAAGTTTTTAATGAATGGCTTGCGCTAACTGTTGCTCTGGTCTTCGTCAACAACACGCGCTTGCACCTCCTGCTGGTGAGGTCGACTAACAGCAGATGGAGAGATCATGCTCGGTAATCGACTGCTTTTCCTGCAGCTCCTGGATGTCAACGTTGAATTTACTGTTGAATTTGAACCACTGAATTTGTGGAAGCGAAATAAAATGGACCGAAAACCGCTTGTTGAATATTATAGGTTGTATTTTTAATCAGTTTGAATATTTTGGAAGTGAAATATGAAAGGTGAATATGGATTATTGAAATGTTACTAATGAAAATGTGTTTGAAATGTTTTGATTTGAAATATTCACAGCTTAAATATTCAACCATGCTACATTTCAGTCTATAAAAATGCAAGCCCTAAAAATACAATGCATTAACATACAAGCAGGGTTAATGCAATGCATGTTTTTTTCAAGTAGTACAATTCAACAGGCTTTTTGTTTCAAAAACATTTGGCATTATTTTACTTCCATAGTCCTCGCCGGCTTTTTTTCGGCCGATTCGACATGTCAGTGAAAGAGGGAGCTCTGATTGGCTGTTCAGCTTAGTGAATGAGTCAGTGCACTGCACGAGAATAATAGCAAAACAGAGAGCAAAGAAGTCAAAACGGGATTGATGGAAGGCTGTTCTAATTTAAGTCATATTACCTGAGTGTTCCTTGGCGAATATTTAAATATTAACATGAGAGGAGGGGAATAAAGAAAGTGTTTAGCAGGATTGATATTCAGAACGGTAAGCACGCACTGCTTTGTTTACGGTGTGTATCTGCAGCCGCCAGCGTCGGTTTCTCTTTTTGAATGACGAATATAGACAAATATATCTGCAGAAATAGACAGTTATCTCATTTACACGCAGGCGCAGAACGCGCATTCTAGCTAACAGTCGGCTGTAGTTCTCTCGGTGTGTTTAAGTGCAACTTTTTTCCCGCGACACAGGCGACGCGAGGCGACAACACACAGTCGGCTTTCATCTGATTCTGCGCTAGTTCATCGGCGTTGGCTTGGTGTGTTTCCAGGACGTGAAAGAGGGCGTGTTTCAAGATACGCAATCTGGAGTAGACCAAACTTAACAGGGAGGGAGGGCAATACACTCACATGCATGCACACGAAACACACTCCTTGTTGGCCGCGCCCGCGCGATCGATTCCCTCATCCATTTGCGTAGAAAAGAAATGTAATATTATGATTTCCGTCATTTTTTTTATATATATATTTTTTATATGTGTACCGGGCCGGCCCACATTGGCCAGCGGCCCACCGGGAAAAGTCCCGGTGCTCCAGATGGCCAGTCCGCCCCGCCTGCCTATACAATGAGATCGAAAAGGCATTGAAGAACCCGTGTTTAGCGTGCA